TGAAGTGTAGCGAGGTGTGTTGGGTCAAGGAAGCGAACCCTTGATCGTTCCTTAAGATGTCAACAAGACGTACAACTGCTCAGACAAGCAGTTAAAAAAGAAAAAACTCAGCATTTCAACTTCTCTTTACCTTTTCAAGTTATTTTCTACTATCTTTATATTTCCTATTTCATATTTTGTGATTATATTTGCAGTTTCTTCGTGTCTCACGTACGTTGCAGAGGAAGAGAGTAATGAAGAAAATAGTAGAATATAATCTGATGTAATATGCTTGCCAAAGTAGATATTGTAATTTATGAATGAAACAAAAACAATGGATAAAACAAGAACAAAAATAGTCTGATTACAACACTGAGTAAAGAGAACTAAATGTAAATTAGTGATGTCTTAAAGGAATCAATTAGCAGCACAAGATATTGAACAAGATTTAGTCCGTTAGTATAGAGACATCGGCCACATATCTGGCCGATATGTGGTATGTTGTAAATACTACATCACTGGTATGTTGTAAGTACGCTATTACCACCAACACCACCACCCAAAACACCACAAACACCACCACCACCCACCATCCCCACCCTTTACCATCACCAACACAACCACCCCAACATCTCCACCTTCCCCACCACTACCACCCACAATACCACTCACGTATACCATTCTCTTACAAAACAACACATTCAAACATGCCAGAAAACAGAGAAGCATTGTACAAAACCTCTTCATATCGAGAGAGAGAGAGAGAGAGAGAGAGAGAGAGAGAGAGAGAGAGAGAGAGAGAGAGAGAGAGAGAGAGAGAGAGAGAGAGAGAGAGAGAGAGAGAGAGAGAGAGAGAGAGAGAGAGAGAGAGAGAGAGAGAGAGAGAGAGAGAGAGAGAGAGAGAGAGAGAGAGAGAGAGAGAGAGAGAGAGAGAGAGAGAGACACACACAAAAATGCAAAGTAACCTGTTCATTGAATATGTATATTCCAGAGCTCATAAGGTACGTCCAGTCAGCATCCGGCGGCTGAACGCTGCCTCAATATTCTGTTTGCTAGACCTCCACTCACCTGTGATAACCCCAACCCCCCTCCTCCTCTCCCTCACTATCCCTCCCTCATCTTCCCCTCACACTCCCATAATTCTTCCCTCATTTCCCTCTCACTCACTCTCCCTCATAACTCTCGACAACTTCTCAATCTCTCTCTCTCTTTCTCTTTCTCTCTCTCTCTCTCAATAATTAATGAATACGTCTGTGAGATCGGTGACAGCTTGGCCAAGCACTGGCTGAGAGGGGACAAGAGGGAGTACGTACGTTAATGGAACGTCTTTACAATTCTTAGACGCTAATAGACCATCTTATGGTCTATTACCTCTAGTGGGAACATGTACCACTACATGTAATAGACCAGTCTTAATCGATTTCATAAATGGCTTTTTGTATTATTTTATTTTTAACTTTTCAACAAATGTTTACAATGGAACAAATATTGTAATAATTTACTTGTAAAATATCCACCACATGTGCAACTGGAATTAGTTTAGCATTCTTATATTTTCAAGTACAAAAATTATCTTTCCAAGAAAAAAATTTATTTCCACGTAAAGAAAATTTTGTTTCCAAGAACATATTAAAATTTTTGTTACACTTATGTGTGAACATTGCATAACAGTCCCTGAAAACTTTGTTTTTGACTTCAAGAACAAAAATATCAATTTACGAATTAGACTGTAATGAGGACGAGTTCGATTTACAACATCTGAATAACAGTCACGCGACGCATGGGGGTCACCAGTCACGCGACGCATGGGGTCACCAGTCACGCGACGCATGGGGTCACCAGTCACGCGACGCATGGGGGTCACCAGTCACGCGACGCATGGGGTCACCAGTCACGCGACGCATGGGGTCACCAGTCACGCGACGCATGGGGGTCACCAGTCACGCGACGCATGGGGTCACCAGTCACGCGACGCATGGGGTCACCAGTCACGCGACGCATGGGGTCACCAGTCACGCGACGCATGGGGTCACCAGTCACGCGACGCATGGTGATGCTGGTGGTCTGTGGTGATGCCGGCGGTGTCTGTGGCGACGCCGGCGGTGTCTGTGGCGACGCCGGCGGTGTCTGTGGCGACGCAGGCTGTCTGTGGTGATAGCGGTACAGCCTCTCACCACATTAGAGAGCGGCGAACGCTGCCACAAGCACGAGAGTAAAATCAGTAGAGCCTGGTAAGCACATATGAGTTTGGACGACGAGCTTCCTGAAGGGTCCAATCTGCCGCGACGGGGCACTCGACTCCCGCCGCTCCGCCCCCACACCATAAGGCTCAAGACACCTTCGTCCTCCAGCCGTGGCAAGGGGGCAGCATATCCTTTCAACAAATCCCCGGATTACATGGGAGCCGAAGGACCACCAGCCTAACCCTCCCCCCTCGTACACGAGTCCTCCTCCACAGCCCCCACTTTCCCCCCCCCCACCATCTCCCCCACCACCACAATCAGCCCCAAGTCGTCCGTTCCACTCTCGCAGACTTGTCGGGCTATTCCACCCCCTTCAATTTACCTCTTGGGTGGATGGAAGAGGCACGGGAAGCGAATGAGAAAGGCACGTGGAATAAAAAGGGGAGAGGAGAAGGATATGAGAGAGAAGGCAGTCAAGGAAGGGAAGATATTTAAGAAACAAATTTAATATTATTTGAGAAAGAAATTTTAGATAAACAGACGTAAAACACAGCAACCATCTCACATTAGATTCTCTCCCACGAAACCAGAAAGGTTTTGACTTACACGTGAAGACAAGGAAATCCCCCGGATATTAAAAAAAATATAAAAGAGCGTGTTCACGACGTAGGAGATACACAGTCGAGCGCCACCGAACAGACCCCCCATCCACAACGTACAAAATACAAAGAGCTAAGCAGAAAAATGCGAACAGGCCAAGCCATCTAACCTAACCTAACCAACCATTGCATAGAAAACGCAGATATTCGCAAGGCGCTACTTTTCATAGCATTCTTTATTATTTGAGAACAGGTTCAACCGACGTCATGTCGTTCCGTTATCACTACTAACACCACGTGACAACTTCTAACACCGTTTGATATCACCTGACACCACCTATTGACACATTTCCACTTCCCTAATCACGTGATATCACTTAAAACCATGTCTGATAACATAACAGAATGTTATTCATCAAATTTGAATACATATTTTTGTGTTTTCTCAAAAATTAAACATCGCGTAAACAAAACTGACAACTCTCGCTCGTTTAATTAATGCAGAGCAAAAATATTGAACATGAAAGTGATGACTCGAGTACTCATTAACCCCAGCACAGCCACACAGGTGAACCTACACCTACAGGACCACACCTGGTGACCACACACCCACAGGACCACACCTGGTGACCACACACACCTACAGGACCACACCTGGTGACCACACACTCACAGGACCACACCAGGTGACCACACACACCTACAGGACCACACCTGGTGACCACACACTCACAGGACCAGACCAGGTGACCACACACACCCACAGGACCACACCAGGTGACCACACACCCACAGGACCACACCAGGTGACCACACCCACCCACAGGACCACACCAGGTGATCACACACACACCTACAGGACCACACCAGGTGATCACACACACACCTACAGGACCACACCAGGTGACCACACCCACCCACAGGACCACACCAGGTGACCACACACACCCACAGGACCACACCAGGTGACCACACACACCCACAGGACCACACCAGGTGACCACACACACCTACAGGACCACACCAGGTGACCACACACACACCCACAGGACAACACCGGGTGACCACACACACCCACAGGACCACACCAGGTGACCACACACACCTACCAATAGGACCACACTAGGTGATCCAGCTTGCAAAAATCATCAGAACTAATGGGCGGAATTCTGACAAGCCGCCAGCTTCCTGTCGTCGAGGTCACTATTGGGTGACCTTCAGGTAAATCAGGTACAGCTTTCACCCAAATGCCAAAGCTTTCTCTTCTACGGTGTTGGTGAAACAACCAATGACAGAATATGTTTTGTCAACCTTTAGACAAGGTGTTTACCCAGGAGGCCTGGTTGACGACCGGGCCGCGGGGACGCTAAGCCCCGGAAGCATCTCAAGGTAAGGTACCAGTTAGTGTAGTAAAGTGTAGTTAGTGTATTAAACATTTTACGAAGAAAATAACTTTGTCGTTTAACGTTTATCATCCGACAGTGCATGTTGAGCTACGATAATCTTCAAATGGTCACGAATTGCATGCATAATATGATCGGATATTTGCCATATATTTACAGAGACTGTCTCTCTCTCTCCCTTGTAATATTCATTCTATTAATACTGATAATTGGGGGTATAATTAAGTTTTGATACCATTATTCGTATAAAGTATGTCAACTATTATCCCAAATGTAAACGTTTGCAAACCGGTTTTAACTTAAACAAAAAAACGTTTAGTGTTGATTGATTGATTGATTCAGACGTTTTGTGTGACGTCACGACGTTTGCCTCGCCAGCCAATAAGCAAACAGATGACAAGTTATACTGTTTAATAGTTTAATAAACTCTTAAGCACAAAAGTAGAGACATCTCCCCCTTTTTTTCACTAATCTCCATATACTAACATTTAGTCATTGCTCTTCACTATTTTCCTTTCGATAAGTGTGAATTATGTCAACCGGTGTGTGTATGTGGTGTTTTGACCAATGAGATTCGTCGTTACAAAGCGTCTATATTCATTCATAACTTAACCCAATACTACCACCACAACAATAACAAAGGCGACGTTGCCACTTTTCCATTTTCCAAGAAACTTGTTTGGAGGTACGGAATACTTTTCCCTAGATTGTGCACCTGAAGCAGGTATACACAGCAGGTGAGGGACACATGAGACAGGTATACACAGCAGGTGAGGGACACATGAGGCAGGTATACACAGCAGGTGAGGGACACACGAAGACACATGGATACTCACTACACATGCCGACGTAGCGCACCACCACCTGCAGGTTGAGGACACATGCTGAGCGACTCAGTTCACACTCGCTGCTGTAGTCGGTGCCATCAGAGCCACAGACCGGGCGGCGGGTGCCATCTAGATGGCACTGGGGGCGGCAGTGGCACTCTGGCTCCCCCGCCTCCGTCACCACGCACTCAGCACCCGACCTGCACTCCACGTTCTCGCACGGATCACTTGCAGACTCTGTTAGAGTGAAGAGAACAGGAGGACGGTTAGTATTAGATCCAAATGCTGTCACTTCACCGTCACTCAACCACCGTCACCACATCACCGTATTCCAAACTCTAAACTACCAGCACGCAGAGAACTATTAACCACCTAGGAAGCCTTCAACCAGACAACAACCATGTTTACTAGACCAACATAAACTTATAACTTAGGTAACCATGTTTCACTCCAAATACAAACACTCAGACCCTGCAGACTAGCAGCCCATTACACCCATTCCAGTGGTATTCATTGGGTCGTCATTGTAACAACGTCGTCACAGCCTAAACACGCTAAATAAATAACGTTGTGCGTTAGCTGAGAGGTCCTAAGACACCCCCTCCCTCCCCCGTCACGCTAAGTAAACTTAACAGGGTATTTGAAGCGGAATGACGGAGGAGACAGCCACAATGAATCCCTACCCATTCACTCCTCACTTTAGAGAGTTAATCCTCTTATCGCATTTACGAAGATCACAATGAATCGCCCAGAGAGTTGGACACTTTTTAATTAAGCAGCGGGTACAGCAGAGAGCGAGGCAGCTATAATGCGGCCCACTGTGGCCCTGGAGGGGAGGCCACCGTGGCTCACTGTGGCCCTGGGGGACCACTGTAGCCCACTGTGGCCCTTGGGGACCACCGCGGCCCACCGGGGGACCACCACCAGGCAGCTGCTGCCTTCCCGGCCACTGAAAGACCTGCCATCTGGGTCCCAAGAGTTTAGTTTTACCAACATAATCACCATTGGGACCAGAAGCGGCACGGCAGGCTTCGTGCCGCCCTCCGTGCCAGACACGGCTACACTGGTAAGCCAGTGGTAAGTTGCTGGTGACACTAGTATTAATAATTCCATGATTATACCCGAGTATAATCACAATAACGTCGCCAGAGAGAGCCCAACCCACACAGAGGGGGGAAGACACAGGAGGTGACGACGTCTCTGTCTAATCCTGGACCCTTTACAAGTCTTGATACAGCCAGAGTGACTGAGCAAATCAGTATTAGGTCCTGTATCCACTCATGGCTCCTGTATCCCTTGTATAGGCTCCACTAGTGGCACTCACGGATCCAGTGCCACTCGAGCTGGGCGCTGTGGGAGCACCTGGCATACCGGAAGAAGGCAGGCAGGCAGGCAGGCAGGCAGGCAGGCAGGCAGGCAGGCAGGCAGGCAGGCAGGCAGGCAGGCAGGCAGGCAGGCAGGCAGGCAGGCAGGGGGTCGAGACAGAGTGATGCGACTCCCTTGCCTCTTGTGTTTGACGCCAGACACTAGGTAAACACGTCCCAGATGACGCCAACGTGTAATTACCCGCCATTTGTGGCTATTTCCCCAGAGGTAATAGACCGTCCCAGACGTATTTACGGCAGCAGGTCCGAGTGAATGCATCTTTTGCATGTCGTGGCATCACGGCACCTTAATTTTCCTAAGTAAATAACCAGAAGTGTAATGGATATTATAGGATGGTTTCAGGCCGGTTCAGGGGGGGGGGGGTGTGTGTTTCTGAATGGGAAAAGGGGGGGATAGGAGGTTTTTTGGTGAGAGAGAGAGAGAGAGAAAGTGGGGGGGGGGGTAGGTTTGGTGGGGGGTTCGTGATTCGGAGAAGGGGTGGGAAGAAAGGAGTGATTGGGTTAGGTAGGGGGGCGGGATTGGTTGTTGGAGTTAAGGGGTGATTGAGGGTGTCGCTGAGGGAGCAGGTGGTGATCCTCTCACGTGTATGGGGAAAGGGAGGATGATGGTTGTTAAGCTTGTCAAGTGATTAAAAAAGAGGGATTGTGGTTAACCTGTAATGTGATTACACATTAATGTGTAATGTGATGTGTTTGGGGGAAGGGCGGGGGGGGGGGGCGGGGGCTTTTCCTGCGTGACTCGGCTCTCTGGTACAACAATATAATTATTATATTAACGGTTTAGAGTAGTTTAGGTAAATTAGGAGTAAGACTTTATATTGCCGCATTAAGAGTAAATCATTTTAAGTACTCACTTAAAGCATCACATATAAACGCTTGGAATCAAGCGTGTAATTAAATACTTTAAGAGACGTGAGAAACTGAAATGTACGTTTTTCTGGACTATAGCCAGACAGACTCGGTACATTCTGGGGCCGTGTAGATACATACGATTTTGCACTGTAAATACCTTCACACTGTACGCTGGTCACTCTTAACTATGGAAATTAGAATTATGAAGAGTAATTGTTGCATTCAGAGTAGCAAGGCTGAACGAACAGTTCACACACACACACACACACACACACACACACACACACACACACACACACACACACACACACACACACACACACACACACACACACACACACACACACACACGTACACACGTACACACGTACACACACACACACACACCGCGTATCTCAGCCTTACTTCCACGCATTTAAGTTCTCATTTGACTCCTTCGGCGAGTACAAGGTCGTGAGGTTGTCAGACCCGGGGCCAGATTCTCGAAAGCACTTACGAACCTTTACATCTTTTCTCAATGTTTGGCGGCTGTTTCCAATTATTAAACAGTTAATGAGCTCCGAAGCACCAGGAGGCTGTTTATAACAATAACAACAGTTGAATGGGAAGTTTTCATGCTTGTAAACTGTTTAATAACTGTAATCAAAGCCGTCAAAGATTGAGGAAAGATGTACACGTTCGTAAGTGCTTTCGTGAATCTGGCCCCAGGTCAGCACAAGGGTCATAACAAGGTTAATGGGGGTGGGGGGGGGGGAGAGGGGGAGGGAAGGGGAAGATGGGGGGGAGAGGGGGAGGGAAGGGGAAGATGGGGGGGGGGAGAGGGGGAGGGAAGGGGAAGATGGGGGGGGGGGGAGAGGGGGAGGGAAGGGAAGATGGGGGGGGGGAGGGGGAGGGAAGGGGAAGATGGGGGGGGGGTATATCAGAATTATCAATAAAGTTACCAAGCAAAAAAAAATGACAGGATGACTGGTGTTATATGTCGCGTCTTAACAATCACCAATCACTGTGGTTACGAAGAAATAAAAAACAAACTCTTAAGGATAAAAAAAAAAAATCAACATTCAAAACTACACCTCATATTTCCTGCGGCAACAATGTTCAAGAAATGCAAAAAAAGAAAGTTAATTCAAACTTAAATTAGCACAGAAGAATGGTCAACACATCCTACGTCCACCTGGTCAATACTGCCACTGGACTTCTATATATTTATATATTATAGCAGTTGGCAACTGTGGCAATACCTCCCTCCCATTGTTGCCAAATCTAATTAACTGATTAGCTTGTCTGTTTTACATAACAATAACGCAACTGGGCTAATTAGGGACCACAAATCACCCACATGCATAAGCAATAAAGGCAATACAATGCTTCTCCGCAATACATACTCGTTATCTAATATAACACTTCCCATTCTGTTGCTTTAAATTCCAAGAGGAAGAAGTGGCAACATTGATTGATTTGATCGTTGCCACCGAAGGCGGCTAGTTTATTGTGCACCCCATACTCATCCCGTGAGCGGTAGCGCAAAAGCATTACAGAGGGCACAAAAGGTCTTTATCAGACCTCATCTTAGATTATTACATAAACAATTTCATCTATCCTTCACACCTTATAGCTACAATGTCAGCTAGTTACAGAGAAAGTGCTATTACAAGCCCTCCCCCCCCTTCCCCCCTTCTCTCTCTCTCTCAATAACTCAAGCTGCTCATCATTTAATCGGACATAGTTAATTCATTTAAGAAGGGCAGATATCTCAGGAAATTAATTATTTCTTAACTTTGTTTTTTTTACCTTAAGATGTAAATACAATCTAGGTAATCACGATTCAACTTCTTGACAACTGTGGACGGTAGAGCAACGGTTTTGCAGCCCTTCACGCCGGTCAACGTTCAATCCCCGACCGTCCAAGTGATTGGGCACCATTCCTTCCCTCCGTCCCATCCCAAATCCTCATCCTAATCCCCTTCCCAGGGCTATATAGTCGTAATGGCTTGGCGTTTTCCCCCTGATAATTCCCCTCCTTCCTTATATGTAATATATTAATATAAGGATTTATATTAATGCATACTGAAAGACGTAAAAAAAAAAAACATTAGCAGAGCCTCGTCTATTAATTAATTACGTATTAATTACGTATTAAACTCGTTGCTGTCAATTGTTACTCAACTACCCATTTGCATGATCAAGATTCTATAATTTGCATACAGCATATCACCTTATGGCAACATATCTATAATTACTCGCAATCCAGCACATGCAATTTATGTATGGAAATTACAAAAGTTGATTTCAAGTTCAAGTTTGACTGTCCTAGTCATTAATATCCTTGACTACAGCCTAATTGTACCAGTTGGGCATTCTACGAGATATCTGAGAAACAGTAAGAAAAAAGAGAAGAGCCAGAAAAGCCTTCTTGCAGCGTTCAAGATATATGTAGTTATATGTGGGGTCGAGGGGATATATGTAGTTATATGTGGGGTCGAGGGGATATATGTAGTTATATGTGGGGTCGAGGGGATATATGTAGTTATATGTGGGGTCGAGGGGATATATGTAGTTATATGTGGGGTCGAGGGGATATATGTAGTTATATGTGGGGTCGAGGGGATATATGTAGTTATATGTGGGGTCGAGGGGATATATGTAGTTATATGTGGGGTCGAGGGGATATATATAGTTGTATGTGGGCTCGAGGGGATATATGGTTAACCATTTCTATAGAAGGAGAACACGGTTATTTCTGAAGAACCAAGAAATGCCAGAGAAGAGAAAGAATTGAAACTTGTTGATGCAGAAGGCTAAGATGACCTGACCCAAGCTGATGACCTCCTAAGATGACCTGACCCAAGCTGATGACCTCCTAAGATGACCTCAGCTCCCAAGCTTATAGATGCTTATAGAGGTCAGACCTATTAAACACGTGAACAACTTTCTTTTCAATAGAAATCAAGAATTTTCCAGCACACTTGTTTTGGATATGAGAATGGCAATCGTTTCTTAATACGAGAATAACAAACATAATGACAATCAAACACGTGCTTCTTCCTTGTCCTTAGATTAGATCTTGATCTTGATCTTAGATCTTGAGATTCCTTTCTTTATATTTTCCTACAGTTCGTTCCCTTTCTGTGCAGGCGATGAGTCACAATAACGTGGCTGAAGTATGTTGACCAGACCACACACTAGAAGTTGAAGGGACAACGACGTTTCGGTCCGTCCTGGACCATTCTCAAGTCGATTGAGAATGGTCCAGGACGGACCGAAACGTCGTCGTCCCTTCAACTTCTAGTGTGTGGTCTGGTAAAAAATTCCCTTTCTGTGTCTCCTAATCTGTGTGACCATCTATCTGTGTCTCCCCTCATCACTAGAGAAAATATAACCAAGCCAGGCTCCGTCTCCACACAGGCTGCCACGGGCCAGGCAAACAACACAACGACCCTGAACAGCGTAACTGCTTAACCGGGACCGCTGCGGCTCCGTCTAACACAGACACCAAGATTTTGCCCCCGACAATTTGCTTACGGAAATGGGCCTCCTGTAGCGGACAGAAAAGGAACCCAAGAGTCTCCTAATGCCGCTTGCGGCTGCTACATCTTGACATTGGCTTTGAGTTTACGCAGAAGGTTGTGAGGGAGAGAGAGAGAGAGAGAGAGAGAGAGAGAGAGAGAGAGAGAGAGAGAGAGAGAGAGAGAGAGAGAGAGAGAGAGAAAAAGAGAGAGAGAGAGAGACCTTTACATAAATTATCTGCCACACTCTTAAATAAGACCATTAATTAATATTTCCTCCTCGCGTAAGAGAGGCAATGAGACACGTGGAGCGAAAACAATGGCTTGAATTATAGTGGCGTGAACTGATGACTTTAATTTGGCGCCAGTGTTGCTGACCTCTCTTCTCGTGGGGTCAGGGGAGGGCAGGGAGGGCAGGGGAGGGCAGGGGAGGGCAGGGGAGGGCAGGGGTAGGACAAAGGGTAGGGCAAGGGTAAGTGTCTGGGGGGTGGGAAGGAAAAGATCTCTGGAATTGTGTTGAAGGAACATGTGGAATTTGGAGACACAGTTACTATGGATAAGTGTGGTCACATGCCGGCCGACATTAGGCTTCTAACCCCCCTGCAGTACTGCGTTTTAGTATGAACTGAAAACAGTGAACTGTATTCACTTTTTCATCCAACATACATAACTTTTCCCATACATACCATGTATACCTCCATTCCAGAGAACCTCTTGAGACATGACAGAGACGCGCTCAATAACAACAAAAATACGAGCCTAAGAGAAGACCAATCATGGTTTATTGAGCCTCGGTGAAGCGTCCTCATTGGTTACTGTCGGAAGGTGTGGAGTCAGCACGGCAGGCCAAGGAGGTATAGGGAGGGGGTGGGAGCCAAGGTCACGAGGGATGGGATGGGTGGGGTGGGAGAGAGTCAAGGAGAGATGGGATGGCGGGTGGAAGGGGAGGGATGTGGAAGAGGGTCACGACCACCAACCCGTGAAGACCACAGTCGCTCGTTTGTTCTGGTTCGCCGCCTTTTGATTTTCGTTTGTGCTCTGAGGGTTGGTGATGGAGGTGGTGGTGGAGACACGTCTCCGGCCCTCTGAGGGCTGGGGTGGTGGTGGAGACACGTCTCCGGCCCTCTGAGGGCTGGGGTGGTGGTGGAGACACGTCTCCGGCCCTCTGAGGGCTGGGGTGGTGGTGGAGACACGTCTCCGGCCCTCTGAGGGCTGGGGTGGTGGTGGAGACACGTCTCCGGCCCTCTGAGGGCTGGGGTGGTGGTGGAGACACGTCTCCGGCCCTCTGAGGGCTGGGGTGGTGGTGGAGACGACGTCTCCGGCCCTCTGAGGGCTGGGGTGGAGGTGGAGATACGTCTCCGGCCCTCTGAGGGCTGGGGTGGAGGTGGAGACGACGTCTCCGGCCCTCTGAGGGCTGGGGTGGTGGTAGAGACACGTCTCCGGCCCTCTGAGGGCTGGGGTGGAGGTGGAGACACGTCTCCGGCCCTCTGAGGGCTGGGGTGGTGGTGGAGACACGTCTCCGGCCCTCTGAGGGCTGGGGTGGTGGTAGAGACACGTCTCCGGCCCTCTGAGGGCTGGGGCAGAGGACACCTGTCCCGCAAGAGGTACAGGACGAGATAAAGGGGCAATGTGTGTGGAAATAAAAGAAAATGACAAATGGAACTTAAGGAACGAAGGATGACTAATGAAAGATTGATAACAGACATCAGGTACGCCAAGTAAAATTGTATTTGACGACCGATAAATGAAAAATTGGGACCAAGAGCTGACGCTCGTCTCTACAGACATAATTCCGTAAATACAATTACGTAGAAAATACACACATCCAGAGACCTATGCACCGCCATCACATGGAATATATCTCTTTCGAGGTGCACAAGCACCTAACATTGTAGGCACTTGAAGTAATCATCCACAGAGTGCGGTATACCACGTACATCAGACCAACTCCTGGGCATGCAGCCCAGGAGTTTCGAGGACCGAGTAGCACACCAGAGCCGAGAGTCCCAAACCTATCCATCTTTTCCTCACATTATTCCCTGTTATCTTACCGTTGCATCTCACCCTTTACTTTTCCTCATCTACATTTTAAATATATATTAACCAATTTATCATCACAAGCCGTATACACTCCAACTTTCCCCATTTAACTCAAATTTTCTCACCTTCATTTTCATCTTCTCTAGACCTTCAAGTTTTATTTTCATCTTTATTTTCCATCTTTTCCGTTTAACCCTTTCAACTACCTTTTCCATTTTCCATTTCTATCTTCTTCTTTCATAGCAATTAACGCCACAATCAACACTCTAAACAACTGCATATATATCCATGGATATATGTATTCAGGTTATATACATATCCTATCCCAAGGCATATGTATATCTCCCAGGGCTATATATGTATATAAACTTGAGCTTTCTCAAGGAATTGAGTTCCAGACTCGTGACGCCAGCAGAGACCCACGAGCTGCCAATATTCTGTTCCAGCGCCTCAGTGTGGCGATCCAGAGGGGGAAATGCCTCCTGTGTCCTCGGTTCCTGTCCGGAAGCAGAGGAGCTCCAAGAGATCCACAACTTTTAATCTTCCATTGTATTCACTAACGTATAGCACAAAGAGAACGGAGAGGTGGTAGGACAAAGGAAAATGGAGACTGCAATAGAAGGCACCTAAAAATCCCCTCTAATGCATTGTGTGTGTGCTTTTCTCCGAGGCTATGGGGGCCCCTTCTTACAAAATACAACAAAAGTGTATATAGAAGGTATTATACTAGCAATATAACGCAAACTCTATATATTCAACAAGGCTATTAGAGTCTGGTAATGGAATCTGATGAAATCAAATGCACTAATGACTTCAAGTACTTCCTCAGTCATCATAGTTTCATGGGTAAACTCAATCATATTTGCAATCACATTAACTTGCACTGCAATTCGTTCATTAACTGCAATGATCATTATTACTAAAGCAATATTGTAGTTAGTCACGATCTGTTAGTGATGTTCCCTACAGTCACGTTCTTTGTGTGATGTTCCTCAGTCACGTTCTTTGTGTGATGTTCCTCAGTCACGTTCTTTGTGTGATGTTCCTCAGTCACGTTCTTTGTGTGATGTTCCTCAGTCACGTTCTTTGTGTGATGTTCCTCAGTCACGTTCTTTGTGTGATGTTCCTCAGTCACGTTCTTTGTGTGATGTTCCTCAGTCACGTTCTTTGTGTGATGTTCCTCAGTCACGTTCTTTGTGTGATGTTCCTCAGTCACGTTCTTTGTGTGATGTTCCTCAGTCACGTTCTTTGTGTGATGTTCCTCAGTCACGTTCTTTGTGTGATGTTCCTCAGTCACGTTCTTTGTGTGATGTCCCTCAGTCACGTTCTTTGTGTGATGTTCCTCAGTCACGTTCTTTGTGTGATGTTCCTCAGTCACGTTCTTTGTGTGATGTTCCTCAGTCACGTTCTTTGTGTGATGTTCCTCAGTCACGTTCTTTGTGTGATGTTCCTCAGTCACGTTCTTTGTGTGATGTTCCTCAGTCACGTTCTTTGTGTGATGTTCCTCAGTCACGTTCTTTGTGTGATGTTCCTCAGTCACGTTCTTTGTGTGATGTTCCTCAGTCACGTTCTTTGTGTGATGTTCCTCAGTCACGTTCTTTGTGTGATGTTCCTCAGTCACGTTCTTTGTGTGATGTTTCCTCAGTCACGTTCTTTGTGTGATGTTCCTCAGTCACGTTCTTTGTGTGATGTTCCTCAGTCACGTTCTTTGTGTGATGTTCCTCAGTCACGTTCTTTGTGTGATGTTCCTACAATCTTTAACAGTAAGCTTTTAAAATAGGCCAAAATCTGATACGTGTCGTTCATTGGGGAGAAGTGATGGGTTCAAAGTGATGACCAGGTGATGATCAGGTGATGATCAGGTGATGACCAGGTGACGATTAGGTGATGATCAGGTGATGATCAGGTGATGATAACATTGTTAATTACCAGAGAGGATACTGCAGTTTATTTATCAGTTGGTAATAAGGATATGTAATGTTATTCTTCAGCTTTATCTTGCTCCTATCGACACCATTTAGAGCACGTAGGCGGAAAATGTATTGAAAATGATAAAGTTAATCATAAGAGAGACGAGGAGCAAAGGATGACGGAACTGAAGAACATAAATGTACCAAAGGGTGTACCAAAGGGTGTACCAAAGGGTGTACCAAAGGGTGTACCAAAGGGTGTACCAAAGGGTGTACCAAAGGTGAACAGATATAAGATTTCTTATATATATCAGTTCAAGATAGAACACGCAAGAATGTGCTCACTTATAATCTCTCTCTCTCTCTCTCTCTCTAAATATTGCTGCTACATGTGTGTGTGTGTGTGTGTTCTCCCAGCGACTCATATGTGTGTGTGTGTGTTCTCCCAGCGACTCATATGTGTGTGTGTGTGTTCTCCCAGCGACCCATATGTGTGTGTGTGTGTTCTCCCAGCGACCCATATGTGTGTGTGTGTGTTCTCCCAGCGACTCATGTGTGTGTGTGTGTGTGTGTGAGCAGTTGTCCTGCGCCTCTCCACACCTTCCAACACGTTATATAAACGGAACATGAATCTTATTGCTATTTTCCATTTTTCATTTTTGTTATTTTTCGATTTTCCACTTCAGGTCTGAAAATTAATTTCCAAACTTTATATATTTTAGCCTCACGCGTCGTTATCTCCAAATTATGTTTTTACAAATAAAATAAAAATTACTTAAAACGCGCGTAATAAATATCGCTTAAAAGCGTTGAAAAAAATTAGGGAAGACAATTTTTTTTTGTATACAGCGTAATTAATTACGGCTTTTATTTACATATTAAAATTGGATTGTGTGGTGTTTAAAATCAGGCGAAATTAATTTTATTTTTGCTTTATTTCTCGTTCCGGAAGACTTTTTTTTTTGTATAATTAGTTGCAAACTTACTTACCAGTTTTCATAATTATTTGAATTGCAGAATTTATTGCAATTATAGACAATTTATAAGACATTATTTATCGAGCACAATGTTTTTGTTTTAATGAATGTTGCAGGTAATTTATTTTTAATTGATCAATATGTATATACCAAGAGGGTATAGGTATTGTTAGGTATATATTTGTGTATGTCACTGGATACATATTACCAGATGTATATCATATTATTGATCTCACTGAGTATAATCTGTGGGTTGAGTGTATTTCATTGTATTTGTAGCACTGAGAGTGAAACAATAGAGTTATTGTATTCGTATAATGAATGAATAACTCCTTGAATGAATGGGGGAATAATAGTGAATGTAAAGTCATTTGTGCACTATAATTAGTGAATAATGGTGGTTGTCTGCAATCGTGTGTATGATAGATTGTATGTATACAGGCACCCATTTATACATGTATGTATGTATATGAGAGATTGTATTCAATCATGTCTATGTTAGATTAAATGTGAATAAATTGATTAGTGATTAGATTTAAATCCTGGAGCTGTGATCACAACTCACTGAACTGTTCAATATATCCGTCTGTTGCTACTTGTTCTCACCTTGTTGTGCTCACGTAGTTGTGCTTGTGGGGGGTTGAGCTCTGGCTCTTTGGTCCCGCCTCTCAACTGTCAATCAACTGATGTGTGTGTGTGTGTCATTCAACTAACGAGTGTACGTGTGTGTGTGTGTAATCACCTAGTTGTAATCACCTAGTTGTTCTTGCGGGGGTTGAGCTCTGCTCTTTCGGCCCGCCTCTCAACTGTTAATCAATCAACTGTTTACTAACTACTAACTAATTTAAATTTTTCCCACACAAACCACTCCCCCCAGGAAGCAGCTCCGTAACAGCTGTCTAACTCCCAGGTACCTATTTACTGCTAGGTAACAGCGGCATCAGGGTGAAAGAAACTTTGCCTATTTGTTTCTGCCTGGTCCGGGAATCGAACCCAGGCCACAGGATTACGAGTCCTGCGCGCTGTCCAGTCAGCTACCATTGACCCCATATGTGTGTGTGTGTGTGTGTGTGTGTGTGTGTGTGTGTGTGTGTGTGTGTGTGTGTGTGTGTGTGTGTGTGTGTGTTTTGTGTGTGTGTGTGTGTGTGACCATCCATCACACCTAAGCGACCATACGAGTCATAAATACTCACACTCCGCCCAAGTAAAACAGAAACAAGCAACACTTAGTGGGCCAGCCAGAGGCTTAGGGCCCGCGCAGGAATATCCCTGCAAAAAAAAAAAAAATCAAAATCATTACTAAACTCTCAGGTGTTCAGGCACTATCGTCACCACCTGCCACAATCACTGAATACCAATCCCTCAGATCACATCCAGATTGGAGATTGTCACTACCCCCCATAATCCCCTCACCACAAGTCCCCATAAAATATATGGCTCTGATCACGCCCCTGTTAATCCTCTTTAGCTTACGCGCGGTCGAGGCCCAGGAACTGAAGCACGATCATTGACGAGCATTAATCCTTCTTCAGCGTCCACGCCGATAGCATTTAATGTCGAAATTCATCGTTCATTCGTTCATGATAGTTAATACCGAACTACCATCACCACTCACAGCCAGTTACCATCACTCACACTCAGCTGATCACCATTTGACGATAGTGTAGCAGGAGAAAGATGGGAACGGGAGATGGGGAAATGGGAAGGGAGGGAAGGGGGTGAGAAATGAAGGGAATGAATGTCAGTAATGTATCACTTCTCATACTCCCCGACAGACTACATTTTCCTGCCTTTATGTGAGCGCTTTCGCTATCAGAGCTCTCTTTCTTTATATATCTCCGTCTCCTATGTCTCATTGCCTGTAAAGGTCTCTCTGTCTCTCTCTCTCTCTCTCTCTCTCTCTCTCTCTCTCTCTCTCTCTCTCTCTCTCTCTCTCTCTCTCTCTCTCTCTCTCTCTCTCTCTCTCTCTCTCTCTCTCTCTGTTACTGGTGGTTCTCAATATAAATGTAATCTTCAAGCTGTGAACCCACACAATTCATCATGGTGCTTCACAGACAATTTAATGCTCGTCATTCATTTATTGCTGTCCTGTCCATGTCTTGGTATTCATTTGGTCTAGTTTGATGAATACCAACATGTGGTATTCGTTTTGTCCAGCGTTGATACCCAAAGTATTTTTTGCTGTTTAGAAGTATGACATCCAATAATGCAGATGGCAGTGTGACCCATTTGTAAATTATTAGAGCGGAAAGATGAGAGAGAGAAAAATGATCTATTGTTATATGAGCTGTGGTGATAAGAATTCTATGAGGTGTCTGACAGAGCAGGGAACACGAGATGAAGCTTTCCCTCTTAATCTCACTCGCACGCACGCGCACACACACACACACACACACACACACACACACACACACACACACACACACACACACACACACACACACACACACACACACATACGCACACACACACACACACACACACACACACACACACACACACACACACACACACACACACACACACACACACACACACACACACACTCTTATGAAATCGAAATTTTTTTTCCGCAGTTTTTTACCCAGTTCAAAAATATATAAAATACGCTATTCGCACCTTTCATTTTTATACTATTGTTTTTTTTTCTATTTTAAAACTAATAAGCTGAAATAATCTGCAATTATCCGAGTTTTATCTTCCTGGGATATATTTCATTAAAATATTAAAAAAATAGATCATTGAACTCTTTTTTTTTCATGGAGCATTAAAACATAGGACCTATAATCACGTGAAAAATATTCGCCATGATGTTTTGACTTACATCCAGTGTGTGTCTTTTTCAAATGAATTCTGTTCTTCTGTTATTCCGTTGTTCTGTCAAAGAACACATGAAATATTTGTCTGTTTATTTCATGCACTGTTTATCGAGTACTTGAAGTCAGGTCTTCACTCAGTAAAATCAGCAGCTTCACTCAGTGTTCTCTCAGATGCATCCACAGCATCCACTCCCCCGTATAAGTACATCCACTCCTTCGTGCGAGTACATCCACTCCCCAAATGCAACTGCCTTCTATGTATTCCTCTACGACACCAGCAAGCGTAAATTTGCCCCTTGTAAATTAACATCTTAATCCTATACAGCTTCAGCGTAAATCACGAAGCTGTATTGGTAGCATCAACCAAACCCCTTTTACGCCTTTCACCTCAATTCTGGGAGAGGAAGAAACAGCGTAAATAATGAAGGGGGGAAAAGGGGGTTCTGTGAGAGCTAGAAAAAGGGTAAATGTACAGGGAAAGGAGAACATGGAAGGGAAACATGGAAGAGGGAACAGCAGACAGGGAGAAAATCACCACTACAGAAAGTCAATCACTAACGTTTCGTTAATTCCAAAGTTAGAGATGAAATGTTGTCCCTTTGCAATGGATGGTTAGATAGATGGATAGAAGGATAGACAGATGGATTGAGTGAAGGGCAGATAGATGGATTAATAGATGGTGAGATAAATGGATAGTTGGAGAGAGAGAGAGAGAGAGAGAGAGAGAGAGAGAGAGAGAGAGAGAGAGAGAGAGAGAGAGAGAGAGAGAGAGAGAGAGAGAGAGAGAGAGAGATGGGAATGAGGAAGCTTCTCCAGCACTGATATACAACACAACAAACCAAAAAAAATCGCAAAAAATACAGCTTTAGATCAATAAAACTGCTTCACCTGTGTATGGCAGAGCTGAAGACAATACACACACACACATGACCCTCATCTGTTGTCGAGAGTCCAGGTGTTTATAGATCTTAAACTCTCGTATATAAACTCTTGAGCCTCGACTCCACCGTATGCGCGATCCAACACCTTTGATGCGGTCCTCCTACGTCACTCTACGCCACCTATAAGTTCTCCCTCTGCAAGACTGTTCTGAACCTATAGTGTTGTTCTGCGCCTACAGTATGGGCTCCACGTCCTACAGTATAGGCTCCATCGCCTACAGTATGGGCTCCATCGCTTACAGTATGGGCCCCACCGCCTTCAGTATGGGCTCCATCGGCTACGACACAGGCCAGCACTTCAGTACGTTCACAGCTCTGCTATACGGTCCAACCTCTATCGTATAGGTCCACCCCTACAAAATAGTCTTGCTACTGTAGCCCCTGTGAGCTGGGGGCCACGGGGGAGAGTCTGCCTGCTACTGTAGCCCCTGTGAGCTGGGGGCTACGGGGGAGAGTCTGCCTGCTCCTGAACCCGTGCGAGCTGGGGGCCACGGGGGAGAGGCTATTAATATCCTTCTACTGTGCAATATCGTAATGGCAGATGGGACATGCTCCATGGATTTAGGCAAATGGGAAGCTGCTTCGCGGGTCTTTGGTGGACCGATATGAATCATTTCCAAAACCATTTTCGGATCGTGTGATGTTTGGGCGGATTGGTGACAGAGTGGCAAGCCTTCGTCCTCCACTGATGGTGGAGGACGATGGTTTTGGCTTCATCCTCTCGCGCTGTCGGCTGCTTCCTGTGATGACAGGACAGAAGAGCCAAAACCAGCCATCTTACACCAACGGGACCGAACTGCGCCTATCACGAATTGTGTCTAACTGAACCGTCACGCCAAGAAAATAAGGCACTCGGACACTGAGCCTCATTGGACCGTGAAATCTTTTTCTGATAACAATTAGTAAAATTGCAATGGTCCATTCAGCCATGTTAGTGTCCATTAATATGGACAAGGAGGTGAACAGCACTTGTGAATATCCAGATGAATAACACGTGAATACAGAAGTAAATAACACGTGAATACACTGGTGAATAACGTGAATATACAAGTGAATAACACGTGAATACACAGTTGAATAACCCGTGAATACACAGGTGAATAACCCGTGAATACACAGGTGAATAACACGTGAATACACAGGTGAATAACACGTGAATACACCAGTGTTATTCACATTATCAACTGCGAATTTCCATAGATTGTCAATATTTGCTAGAGCTTTCCACGACAGCTTCTACAAGCTCGTCTGCACAATATATTTTTTTTGGTTGTCCAAGATACGTTTATAAAATTTCCTCCATTAACAGTTAAGCTGAGCAAGATCAGCGTTTTCGCAGCTCCCATAGTTCACACCCATACAAGCTTAGACATTGACAGTTGAGTAACAGACCACACACTAGAAGGTGAAGGGACGACGACGTTTCGGTCCGTCCTGGACCATTCTCAATCGACTTCAGAATGTCGTCGTCCCTTCACCTTCTAGTGTGTGGTCTGGTCAACATACTTTAGCCACGTTATTGTGACTCATCGCCTGCAGTTGAGTAACATGATGTTCAACCACGTATTCACATGACCAGTTTCCCAAATAATATTTGTTTGGACCTTCACGTCTCTAATAGCATGAAAAAAAATTAGAAAATTACCAGGTGTGCTCTTTTAAGATAGATTAGTTTCAAAAAAAAAAAAAAAAATCCACTTACAGGACCCTCAAGCAAGAGCCGTCGTCATATATTTCCTCCCTGAGAGGACCTCCTCAAGCAGTTGGAGAGGGTGCTGCTGCTGCTGCTTGGCTCTCGAGTCTTCGAGTTTATGTATAACTTTCTGATACAGTGCGCCAACCAGTATTCGATATTGGCTTCGTCGGGGGAAAATAAGATTGCTAAATATATATACCGGGTGAATACCGTTATTGGAGAATTTTTAAGGAACGGTTATTCTTCTCACGGAGCTGCAACTACTGGGAGAGTGTGTCTGCGCGGACTCGCCTAAATGCGCTTACAGAATCGAGCGCTACTTCCTGAGCCCCGCCTTATCTGCTGCGCTGTTGAACATCCCTGTGACTCATCTGTGCTTCAAATTGATATTTATTTCCCTTAATTTTATCGTGTCTTGTAGTGAAACGTTCTCTCTATCGACTTCCCAGAGAAGGTTTTATGGCAGTATTCTGTATCCTCGATTCAGTGTCTCTTCCAGAGTTGGTCCTCGAAGGTCTTGTTCGAGCCGCGGTGAATATCTGTGAGGGTCAGAGGGCACCTGTATGTGGGTCAGAGGGCACCTGTATGTGGGTCAGAGGGCACCTGTATGTGGGGGGTCAGAGGGCACCTGTATGTGGGTCAGAGGGCACCTGTATGTGGGTCAGAGGGCACCTGTATGTGGGGGGTCAGAGGGCACCTGTATGTGGGTCAGAGGGCACCTGTATGTGGGTCAGAGGGCACCTGTATGTGGGGGGTCAGAGGGCACCTGTATGTGGGTCAGAGGGCACCTGTATGTGGGTCAGAGGGCACCTGTATGTGGGGGGTCAGAGGGCACCTGTATGTGGGTCAGAGGGCACCTGTATGTGGGTCAGAGGGCACCTGTATGTGGGTCAGAGGGCACCTGTATGTGGGGGGTCAGAGGGCACCTGTATGTGGGTCAGAGGGCACCTGTATGTGGGTCAGAGGGCACCTGTATGTGGGGGGTCAGAGGGCACCTGTATGTGGGTCAGAGGGCACCTGTATGTGGGTCAGAGGGCACCTGTATGTGGGTCAGAGGGCACCTGTATGTGGGTCAGAGGGCACCTGTATGTGGGTCAGAGGGCACCTGTATGTGGGTCAGAGGGCACCTGTATGTGGGTCAGAGGGCACCTGTATGTGGGTCAGAGGGCACCTGTATGTGGGGGGTCAGAGGGCACCTGTATGTGGGTCAGAGGGCACCTGTATGAGGGTCAGAGGGCACCTGTGCCTCCTCTGAGTCTACGAGGGAGTGAGATCAAGCTCTAGGACTCCAGCCTGTAGCTACTGTTCTGGTCCCTCTATGCCAAAAAGGCTTTCAAGCTTCAAGTGTCAAGCTTCATCAATCGAGGTAACTTTCACAAGCTCTGATTCGAGCGTCGAGTATGTGTATGGCCTCTTTTTATGCCTTTCCTCGTCTAAATAAAAAGTTTCTGTATCCATTTCATCTATTTCTCTCGATATCTTATACGTTGTGATCATATCACCTCGGTAAATTCTCTTAACCTATCCTCATAGCTCAACCTCTCGTATAACTCATACTAGCCTTACAGAAAATATCTGGACGTCCAACATTGTGTTCCTGTGGTTGATATGTGGGGGAAATCTACGAAAGGAGCTGCATATTCTAAGACTGGTCTGACCTATATCTTTCCAGATAGGCTTATGATCCAAACCTATATCTATATATCCGGATCAGTTCCTAGCTCATCTTGATCAATTCCGTTCACCTGTTTATTCATTCTGCATATTGTGTTTACTTAATTAACGTGTACTTGTGGAGTTGATGCTGGGATTGTGCACACAGTCAGGATCTTCTCCTCCCATACCTCCTGCAGCTGCATCTTATCTCCACCCAAAACCTTCATTTCCTTGCACTTATTGTGATTGAACTCTAGTAGCCATGAATGTGACCATGCCTGTAGCCTCTTTAGTGCCTTTCACTATCTTTCAATGTTTATAAGTCATAATTTACATCATTTTGCTTAGTTTTCAAATATTCTTATATATGATGTTTGGTGTGTGAATGCTTGTCCCCAGAACGTTTTCTTAATTGGCTCGGGACCTGTCAGCCATACTTGGCATGGCACGGAACCTGTCAGCCATACTTGGCATGGCACGGGACCTGTCAGCCATACTAGGCATGGCACGGGACCTGTCAGCCATACTAGGCATGGCACGGGACCTGTCAGCCATACTTGGCATGGCTCGGGACCTGTCAGCCATACTTGGCATGGCACGGGACCTGTCAGCCATACTAGGCTTGGCACGGGACCTGTCAGCCATACTAGGCATGGCACGGGACCTGTCAGTCATACTTGGCATGGCACGGAACCTGTCAATCATACTTGGCATGGCACGGGACCTGTCAGCCATACTAGGCATGGCACGGGACCTGTCAGCCATACTAGGCATGGCACGGGACCTGTCAGTCATACTTGGCATGGCACGGAACCTGTCAATCATACTTGGCATGGCACGGGACCTGTCAGCCATACTAGGCATGGCACGGGACCTGTCAGTCATACTTGGCATGGCACGGGACCTGTCAGCCATACTAGGCATGGCACGGAACCTGTCAGCCATACTAGGCATGGCACGGGACCTGTCAGTCATACTTGGCATGGCACGGGACCTGTCAGCCATACTTGGCATGGCACGGGACCTGTCAGTCATACTTGGCATGGCACGGGACCTGTCAGCCATACTTGGCATGACACGGGACCTGTCAGTCATACTTGGCATGACACGGGACCTGTCAGTCATACTTGACATGGCACGGGACCTGTCAGTCATACTTGGCATGACACGGGACCTGTCAGTCATACTTGGCATGACACGGGACCTGTCAGTCATACTTGACATGGCACGGGACCTGTCAGTCATACTTGGCATGGCACGGGACCTGTCAGTCATACTAGGCATGGCACGGGACCTGTCAGTCATACTTGGCATGGCACGGGACCTGTCAGTCATACTTGGCATGGCACGGGACCTGTCAGCCATACTTGACATGACACGGGACCTGTCAGCCATACTTGGCATGACACGGGACCTGTCAGTCATACTTGGCATGGCTCGGGACCTGTCAGTCATACTTGGCATGGCACGGGACCTGTCAGTCATACTTGGCATGACACGGGACCTGTCAGTCATACTTGGCATGACACGGAACCTGTCAATCATACTTGGCATGGCTCGGGACCTGTCAGTCATACTTGACATGGCACGGGACCTGTCAGTCATACTTGGCATGACACGGGACCTGTCAATCATACTTTACCAGACCAATATATAGCTGCTATATTATTTATTTCCTTTTTTCTTGTTTGTTGAGCTGCTACTTATTAGCAAAGTCAAAACAGCACTCTTGAAAGAAGCGCTTTACCGCTAAACACTGAGAGTAAAGTTCCTCCTCTAGTCCAGGAATCTTTCTCCTCCATTCTCGGGTGAGTCGAAGTTGTTCGCTTGGGTAAAGGTAGTTAGGCAGGCTTTAAACTTTTAAATTAAATTTAGAGGCTGTTGGCGACCGCTCATCTAGGACCAAACAATAGTGATTCGCTCCTTGTCTCGTTGTCTGGGGACTTGTGTTAGGGAAACTACTTCAGAGTAGACAGGGCCTAGATCCCCCTTTAGACGATAGGAGGCGAGAGTAGATAGAAGGCGAGAGTAGATAGGAGGCGAGAGTAGATAGGAAACGAGAGTAGATAGGAAACGAGAGTAGATAGGAGGCGAGAGTAGATATGAGACGAGAGTAGATAGGAGACGAGAGTAGATAGGAGACGAGAGTAGATAGGAGAAGAGAGTAGATAGGAGGCGAGAGTAGATAGGAGGCGAGAGTAGATAGGAGGCGAGAGTAGATAGGAGGCGAGAGTAGATAGGAGGCGAGAGTAGATAGGAGACGAGAGTAGATAGGAGACGAGAGTAAATAGGAAACGAGAGTAAATAGGAGACGAGAGTAGATAGACACGATAGTAGATAGGAGACGAGAGTAAATAGGAAACGAGAGTAAATAGGAGACGAGAGTAGATAGGAGACGAGAGTAGATAGGAGACGAGAGTAGATAGGAGACGAGAGTAGATAGGAGACGAGAGTAGATAGGAGACGAGAGTAGATAGGAGACGAGAGTAGATAGGAAACGAGAGTAGATAGGAGACAAGAGTAGACAGGAGACGAGAGTAGATAGAAGACGAGAGTAGACAGGAGACGAGAGTAGACAGGAGACAAGAGTAGATAGGAAACAAGAGTAGATAGGAGACAAGAGTAGACAGGAGACGAGAGTAGATAGGAGACAAGAGTAGATAGGAAACAAGAGTAGATAGGAGACGAGAGTAGATAAGGACCGATATCCCACAAACTAGGCTGTCGAGATTGGACCACATCATAATGGTCACGTGATCCCACATAATGGTTACATGAAAATACAGCAAAATAATACAACTTTTTTTATTAAAAAAAATCAAGTGCTGCCCAAACGTTTTGTGTTTTTGACAACAAATGGGAGATGTGGGACTCCCCCGTGGGATATAATGACAGTGCCCCCCCCCCCGAGGGATCAGTCACTGCACAACTTAAGCTGTCAAAAGCCACTTGACACAAGCCGTGGTAAGCCATACAGCTCGTTGTCAAGCGGAAGGGTCGCACTTTACCCAGCCAACGCGCCCATGTCCGTTAACACGGCCGTTAACAACGCTTTAAAACGTTGTTACAACCGATTAATAAAATAATTTGGGGGTGGTAACGCTGTGTATTTGTTGGGTTAATGCTAAAATACTGTGTCTCACTATGACAAGGGGGAGGGGGGGGAGGGAGGGAGAGAGAGAGAGAGAGAGAGAGAGAGAGAGAGAGAGAGAGAGAGAGGCAGACAGAGACAGAGACAGAGAGACAGAGACAGAGAGAGAGACAGAGACAGAGAGAGAGAGAGAGAGACAGAGGCAGAGACAGTGAGAGACAGAGAGAGAGAGACAGACAGAGACAGAGACAGAGACAGAGACAGAGAGAGAGAGACAGAGAGACAGAGACAGAGACAGAGACAGAGACAGAGACAGAGACAGAGACAGAGACAGAGACAGAGACAGACAGAGACAGACAGAGAGAGACAGAGACAGACACAAGAAGGCCATCCCAGTCTACACCTTAGTTGCTAATGTTAAACATTTGCCCAGGTTTTGGTCGACAGCTCAAAACTTCTGAATAAGTGATGTCTCTTGAGGACTTTGGTGTTTATTGAAGCCAGGCTCATAAGGTCAGAGGTCACGCGGCCGTTAATGTAGAGAGTTTTATTAACAAGGTCTGACTCGTAGCTAGGCGTCCCATGACCCTGAACTGCCCATCGGTGATTGTTAACCGCGCCTTTACCAGTGCCAGCAGGCACCTATCCTCGTTAGTGCCAACGGGAAAAGCTCTCAACGGTGATAGAAGGAACCTATCGTTACCAGTGACAGAATTGAGGGATAGGGATAGGGGATAGGTTCCCGTTAGCTAACGGGGTTAGCTAACGGGAACTGGTTTACACCGAGTTATGAACTAACAATGCACTCTAAGGGGGAGATTTTGTCTCATAAGTTGGCCTGAGTGCCGGTCAGATTTACTCGTCAACCCTCTCGACCCTGAGTGACTCCCATCGTACTCAGATCCTGAATATTTCAGAGTGAATGTTGCATTGCAATACTGCAAGAGAAATGAGCAGTGTGGTGATGTTTGGAGATGTAGGTAACACTGAACACAAGAGGTGTCAAGAGTGCTCCAACACTGAACACAAGAGGTGTCAAGAGTGCTTCAACACTGAACACAAGAGGTGTCAAGAGTGCTCCAACACTGAACACAAGAGGTGTCAAGAGTGCTTCAACACTGAACACAAGAGGTGTCAAGAGTGCTCCAACACTGAACACAAGAGGTGTCAAGAGTGTTCCAACACTGAACACAAGAGGTGTCAAGAGTGCTACAACACTGAACACAAGAGGTGTCAAGAGTGCTCCAACACTGAACACAAGAGGTGTCAAGAGTGCTCCAACACTGAACACAAGAGGTGTCAAGAGTGCTCCAACACTGAACACAAGAGGTGTCAAGAGAGCTCCAACACTGAACACAAGAGGTGTCAAGAGTGCTCCAACACTGAACACAAGAGGTGTCAAGAGTGTTCCAACACTGAACACAAGAGGTGTCAAGAGTGTTCCAACACTGAACACAAGAGGTGTCAAGAGTGCTCCAACACTGAACACAAGAGGTGTCAAGAGTGCTCCATCACTGAACACAAGAGATATCAATGTGTTATGAAACTGAACAGAAGATTCTCATTTTTTATACAAAAACATCATTAAGTTAATCTTTCAGTAAGACCCCACTTAGATACCACAATTCACTATTGGTCACCATAACTTACAATGAACACGAGCCCACTTAAACACTTACATTTCACGAGGAAGTGTAAGTATTAGGAGCCAGAAGCTTCCGTCGTGAAGACATAAGGAAAGACTTAAATATTTTCTATAGAAAGACGAGTGGGGGGAAGCTGACATGATTAAGTTACGTCTTGATGAAAGGTTTATAACGAAAGTTATAGAAATATGTGTTTTATAATACATCCATACAAGGTAAAACTCGGAACAATAGATATATATAAATTGAGTCAATTCAAATTCTATCCAATTCTGTGCCACATGTTGGTTTGGAAACAAGGTAGTTGAATTTATTGAACAAATTACCGGATAACATGATAGACACGGGATAGTGAGTTTATGAGTGAGTTTATGAGTGAGTTATGAGTGAGTTTATGAGTGAGTTTATGAGTGAGTTTATGAGGCAGTTTATGAGTGAGTTTATGAGTGAGTTTATGAGTGAGTTATGAGTGAGTTTATGAGTGAGTTTATGAGTGATTTATGAGTAAGTTTATGAGTGAATTTATGAGTTTATGAGTGAGTTTATGAGTGAGTTATGAGTGAGTTTATGAGTGAGTTTATGAGTGAGTTTATGAGTGACTTTATGAGTAAGTTTAAGTAGAAATAAATAACAGGTATCTCTTATGGGTGATATGAGACCTGCAGTTGCCCGTCTGTCAACTCTCTCATACAGATTATGAGTTCTGTCACCTCATTCTCAGCTTTCTGAAATCTCTCCTCCCCCTGTGAGACAAATGTCACTCCTGGTGACATGACGTGACATGACAAACGCGCCTACAAAATCGACGAGGGCCCCTCAGCCTGTAATTCAGCGACCAATCACCGCGGGGGTAAATTGCCTGTTCGATGAACTACTCACTAACGATCACCAACCATCCTTTGAAGAACGTTGAGCGAGAACGAGCGATTAATCTCTGGAGATGTTGAGAGTTTTGAGTGTGAGAATAGCAAGTATTCCCTAATATAATATATAGCATGAGACAAGCTATATATATATATATATATATATATATATATATATATATATATATATATATATATATATATATGAATATATATATGAGACAAGGTTTCACACTTTTTAACCACCAGTGATATAAGCAGAGAACTCATACATTATACATCACACTGTATATCTACCAGGCTATACTACCACTACACATACAGTATAACCCTCAGTGTACAGTATAACCGGTAGTGAGGCCAAAGCTGCATTAACTGGTACAGAAAGCTGCGGGAGAGTAGAGGGAAAGTTTAACGTGTTGGTGTATGCAAATGAGTGTGTGCAGCACTTATGATGCGCAGAACTTGATGAATTAATTGAGAGTTACTTGAGCAGGCGGGAAAGTTCAAATTAAATGAAGGCACAAACACTGCTTGCTTGAGTCTGTGTGTGAGAGAGCTGTGAGGTGGTCCTCATGGCCTGTGGAGACATACTTGTGCTTACGATGCTCTAAATATATGTCTAAATGTGTGTGAGAGAGGAAGAGAGAGGGAGAGAGAGAGAGAGAGAGAGAGAGAGAGAGAGAGAGAGAGAGAGAGAGAGAGAGAGAGAGAGAGAGAGAGAGAGAGAGAGAGAGAGAGACAGAGAGAGAGAGAGAGAGAGAGAGACAGAGAGAGAGAGAGAGAGAGAGAGAGAGAGAGAGAGAGAGAGAGAGAGAGAGAGAGAGAGAGAGAGAGAGAGAGAGAGAGAGAGAGAGAGAAGAGAGAGAGAGAGAGAGAGAGAGAGAGAGAGAGAGAGAGAGAGAGAGAGAGAGAGAGAGAGAGAAAGAGAGAGAGAGAGAGAGAGAGAGAGAGAGAGAGAGAGAGAGAGAGAGAGAGAGAGAGAGAGAGAGAGAGAGAGAGAGA